AAGAAGAACTAGACTAGCATGGGCCTCATTTGGTAAACTATCATATATTCTAAAAAATAAAAAGTTTCCTCAATATATGCGAACGAAAGTATTCAATCAGTGCATTTTACCAGTTATCACATATGGCTCACAAACATGGACTTTCACAAAGGAGAACATCGACAGGATATCCAAAACACAAAGAGCAATGGCAAGACAGATGCTGGGTGTCGGTCTTAAAGACAGGAAAAGAAACTCATGGATCAGAGAAAACACAAAGGTGAACGATGTATCAAGACAGGTTGTAAAACTTAAATGGAACTTCTCCGGACACACTCTCCGGCAAAAAGATGAAAGATGGAATAAGCGAATTCTACACTGGAGACTATGGGAAAAAAAAAAGAAAAAGAGGAAGACCACAGATGAGATGGACTGACAACCTTAAGAGAACGGCAGGAAAAGACTGGATGCAGATCGCCCAAAATAGAGACCAATGGAGATTAACAGGGGAAGCCTATGCCCAAGAGTGGGCGTTTAAGGCTGATTAGATAGATAGATAGATAGATGTACACCGAAGAAAAAAATGGTTAAAAAAATGAAGTTAAGATAACTGAACAAAACTCTTTATAAGCATTTTTTGCGTACAAATAACCGTTCTCTTAGTGGACACCTACATTGGAACCGTATTTCTCCCGATCCTATATCGGGCGACGTCGGCCGATGTCGGATTGAAAACAAACTCAAGGTATTAATGCATAGTGCCTATACAGCAGTGGGAACCCCGATCAGATAACGACCGATATCGGCCGACGTCGGACTCAGCAGCTTCTCCTATCAAACTTGTTTGGTTTCATTCCGATTTTTCGTTCCGACAAGAGCAAAATGGCAGAAATAAGTAAAGAAATTTTGATTTATCTGGTGATAAATGAGCCTTGTTTATGGGATCAGGACATTAAAGCCAATTTATGGGAGTCGATTGGAAGGAAATTATTAGTAAAAAGTAAATATATAATATGTTGATACTTTTTATTGTAGATTATAACATAAAGTAGTAATTATTATAATTCCTTTTTTTACGTAATGCTTAATACTTTAGCGTAATACTTTACGTAATACTTTAGCCGTAATTGTTAATATTTGTTCTAAATGCGTTCTTTTTGCCATGAAACAGCGCCTATTCCATTAAAATATGGTTTGAAATTGTCTCTCACAACTTTTGCCTCATTTGACGGCCTTCTGAACGTTCTTGATGAACTTATTTCTTGGAATGGTGATTCATTCGGTAATTTCCCAGAACTGAAAATGTTACCGCCCTTACGGTCAATATTAAGGTTGTACAGCAACCAAATACTTTTCACCATCCGTTCAGCTTTGTCAATTTCGGTTTCTATACACTTACCCAGTAAACGCCATTTAACTCTCATAATACCAAAAGCACATTCTGCGCATCTTCTAGCCTCGATAGTTTGTAGTTAAAAACCCTCTCTTTATGTGAAAGATTTTGTTTTGATTAAGGTTTTATAAGATATGGTTTCAGAGGATAAACATCGTCTCTAAGCATAACAAATATCATATTTGTGGCTATTTCTTCGATCGGTAAAGGTTGTGGTAAAGTATTATGGTATTTTTCTAAAAATGTAGACAAAGTAGAAGCAGTAAAGTTTCCGTATCGAACCAAAATATTTTCCCGTCAGAGTAGTGGCTATACCGTACTGAGGAGACCTAAAGAGGTCGAAATACGTATATGCGGCTTGTCGCTGCTCTGTATCGAATAAAATATAATACTGTCATTGTGTTTTATTTCTTTACTTCGTTTGGAGTACCAGAAATCGAATTCACTACGAATATTGGCCATGATTAACGGCATTTGGAATGCAATTTTAGATTCCCTTGCCGACTTATTCATCAAGCTGTTTGCTTCGCAAGTTTTAGGAAGCACGGTGGCTGATATTTGAATTCGATTTCGCCAGGTAGAAATCGTATGATTTCTCTTTTTGTTCTTAGATGGCATAGTTACGTCTGTACATCGTTATTTTTAATAACTATGGTCTACGACGGGAAAATATTTTGGTTCGATACGGAGTAGTGGCTATACCGTACTGAGGAGACCTAAAGAAGTGGAAATACGTAAATGCGGCTTGTCGCTGCTCTGTATCTAATCAAAATATAATACCGTCATTGTGTTTTATTTCTTTACTTCGTTTGGAGTACCAGAAATCGAATTCATTACGAATATTGGCCATGATGAACGGCATTTGGAATGCAATTTTAGATTCCCTTGCCGATTTATTCATCAAGCTGTTTGCTTCGCAAGTTTTAGGAAGCACGGTGGCTGATATTTGAATTCGATTTCGCCAGGTAGAAATCGTATGATTTCTCTTTTTGTTCTTAGATGGCGTAGTTACGTCTGTACATAGTTATTTTTAATAACTACGGTCTACGACGGGAAAATATTTTGGTTCGATGCGGAGTAGTGGCTATACCGTACTGAGGAGACCTAAAGAGGTCGAAATCCGTATATGCGGCTTGTCGCTGCTCTGTATCGAATCAAAATCTAATACCGTCATTGTGACCTAAATATAAGTTTTTATCTCAGAGTGAGCGTCGAATTGTGTTGAAAGTGGAAAATTATTTTACTTTAGAAAAACTCAACATGGGACCAATTACATCAGTACTGGCAGTTCAAAAAAAGACAAGTGCAGCTTGTGGAATTTCAGAACGGACCTTGCAAATAGTTCGCAAAATAAGTGAGGAGGAATTAAGTAAGGAATTAAGTAATAAAAGGATTCGTTTGCATCCGAAAACCGTCGACTTGCCACAAAGTATTAAAATATCAATCAGAAATATCATTTATGCCACGTACAAAGCATAGGAACGTGTTACAAGAAATACACTTATTCAAAAAATAAAGGACAGAGAATCTTTGTGATATGGGTTTGACAAATTTATCAAAAGTATTAAAAGCTATGGGTTTTAGATACAAAAAAAAGTAAAGTGTTGTGCGAGCTGTACAATGTTGTTGGAAAAAGGTGGAAATTTATAAGAAACTATTTAAAAAAAAAAAACAGAATTCCGAATTTGCCAGACAATTTGTGTTTCTTGACGAAACATGGATTTTTGCGAAAAGAAAAAATACCGAATGATCCTGGCACGATGATTCTACCAAATGCTATTTGAGTACTAGTGCGAGTAATGGCAAAAGATATATTATATTGAATGCAGGAAATACGGAAGGTTTTATACCCAATGATAATCTTATATTTTCTTCGACAAAAGAACTGATGATTACCACGGAAATATGGACGCCGATAGGAAAAATTATTAAACAATCTGGAAAATCCGTCATTAATAGCCTTAGACAATGCTTCGTATCAAACCAGAGAGGAGGAAAAGTTTAACACAAGCAGCTGGGAAAAGGAAAACTTAAGAAAGTGGCTGTCGGAGAAAAATATAGAACACGAACATCTAGTTTTAAAAGCTGAATTATTAAATAATTGCAAATAACACATTACTGAGAAAAAATTTGTCGTTGACCAAATGGCACTGAAATATGGTCATGAGGTCCTAAGACTACCACCATATCACTGCCAGTATAATCAAATTGAATTGATGTGAGGCATCACTAAAAACTACTATGATAAACATGCATGTAAGACCACCGACGAAGCCAGCGTTTGACAACTCGGCAACTCGGTTTGACAACCAAGTATTGAGCATACTGAAAAATAAAATTAGAGTTATATGAAATAGAACAAGTTATTGATGAAGTAAGACGTTTAATTATTCGTACAGATGAATATTCAGATGTATCGGATAGCAAGTCAGATAGTGATGATACCTGTCCATAGATTAAGACGTAGATAGAAAACTTAACACAAAAGGATACTAACCACCAAAAATAAACAAAAAAAAATAAAACAAAAATCGCATGCAGGAGAGAGCCGGAGGCACGCCGCACGACGCTCTTAAATGCAAGCACCAATAAAATTAGATTAGCAAGTAAAGTAGATTAAGGACATGACTGGACGAATGACTGGGTATTAGACGACGGATGAAAGGATTCGATGCTTGCTCGCTCTCGACTGCACTTTGTGCAGAAAAGGGAAAGCAAGTATCGGCACACACAACCATCATTAGATTGCCGAACAATTGCTTTGACCGGTAGTGATAAAGCCAAATGGGCTAACCTACCACTTAAATGTAAATACACGGAAATCTCCCATTGCCTGACGGGGGATGCCGCGAAATAGTCGAGACCTGGCTCCAAAGACCAGGGCGCGGAGGAAAGCCGGAGCTGGTTGTACCGCAGGAGGACAACCTACCTCGTTGGGTTTGGGAAGGTGTGTATGGGAAGTAGGAATAAGTCTTTGTTTTATATAGATATATATATTTTTATAGATATATTTTTTATGCTTAAATAAAAATAAGAGTTTAGTACACGCTAAAAAAGAATTTGTGTTTTTTCAGCATAAATATTAACCACAATATTAATTTTTAAAGTGTCATGTGTAATATGAAAAAATTTTTAAAAACTTTAAATATCTCAAAAACGTCTGTTTTTTCTAGAATGGTATCCCAATAAAATCGATCCAGAATTTTACGTAGATTCTAAAAAAAATAACAAAAAGCACAGTTTCTATTTAAAATAAGAAACTTAATGGCGACTTCCGGTACAACCGGAAGTGCTAGAAGAATGCAAATATTTAAAAAATGAAGATTGCTTTGCATAACCCATTATTCCAAGTTTGCAGAAACCAGTGACGACCAGAACTTTGAAAACTTTTAACCAACATGTTGCGTGAATGACCCTGTATATTTCATACTCAATGTTTATCAATTTACATTATGATATTCAATTATTATAAAACATAATACAAAGTTATTTTATTAAAAAAATCCCTAATGTGGTATTGTCAAATTAAGAAAACCGTACATTTTTAATTTGATAACCGCTGACTACCTGAGGCAAATCTGAACAGACACTTTTATTATTTATTATATACAAAAATGCTTGTACTTACCGTTAAGGTCTCAGCCAAACGCCCATATGGAGGAGGCATATATTCGATATCCATATTGTCAAACACGCCCTTTTTAGTCTTATTAATATTCCAATCAAAAACATATAACTCAAACTGAATGATAGTAAAGATATCATTTTCGTTTAACTGAGGCAAAATCTGTGACATTGCATCTTTAAGCTGAGTAATTTTAAAACCTTCCATACTTCCACTAGTGTCAAGTAGAAAAACCATATGCTTAGGAATGGGATCTAAGGTTTGTGGTGCGAAAGAAATGAAGAAGAAATTGTCTTGATAAAATACCTAAAAATAATGCAGCCAAAATAAATAGGTAAAATTAACTTAATCCTATAAAAATATATAGGGTCCTTCATTTAGAACAGATGACGTGACTTTATTGCTTAAAGGTAGTTGACTCTGTACATTTTTTTGTAGCATTACAAATGTTTAAATTGAAATTCAAAATCTACCTCTCCAAAGAACTTTTTCACAAATGGTCTATTTACTTTTACTTCTTCAAGTTTCATCTTTCATAGAAGGTTGGAAATCAATATTTTTATGCGAACCCTGTTGACCTCTGCTATAAATAATTTTACACTACTGCATTTAAACTATTCACTCAAGTTCTTTAAGCCAGGATATGCTTCGTCTTCTCACATTTCGCACTCCACAAATTTTGTAAAGCATAATTCTCCTCCTAAGTGCCTTCTCTATTGAGGTTGGCGATCAATATGGCAAATTTCTCTCTGTTCTGGGCTTGATGGATTAAGTCATTTCCTGTTGTGTGAGTCTAATCTCTGATGTTTCGGAGCCAGGATTTCTTCCTTCTTCCTATACCCCTTTTACTCTCGATTTTGCCTTCTAATATTACCTGGAGCTGCTCAAATTTCTTATGGCGCATTATGTGTCCTAGATATGAGGTCTTTCTAATTTTGATTGTATTAACCAGATGAGGTCGTGTGTTCATTATTTCCAGTACCTCTTCATTTGTAGCAAAATAAGCATAATAAGTTGTAGTAAGTATTTTTGCCCTCTCATCACATGACCTAAGAACTTAAGTTTTTACCTTTTGCTAATTAATATTATTTCCTCTTTATTTTCTATCCTAGTGATTTTCACGTTTAAAATTCTTTGAACCAGTGATATTCATATGATTCTTCTGTAACACCAAAATTTAAAGGTGTCCAACTTATTTATACGTACTTGTTTTGCTTCCAATCTATCAAGAAGAGTAGAAAACACATAACACTAAGGTATCCTTAGGCGTAGTTCCAACCTTATCTTTAGACAAAAAAGAAACCTTTTAAGTTTGATGAATGATGCAAAAGTGCTATTTCAATAGGTCTAATTTCTTTGGTTCGGTCTACAGTAGATGTTATCCAGATGTTATCCATAATTGTTGAAATAATACGCAACATGTTGATTTTTAGTAAAATTTCGGTAAAATGTTGAACAATATTGTTGGTAATGTTATAATTGATGTTAATAATGATAATATGTTATTCTGTGACATTGCGCCCTAAATATTTGGAGGTATTTACATTTTCAATTACAGTATCTTCAGTGATCAATTGGATGTTTGCATCAGCTGATTTGGTAATAGTCATAAATTCAATTTTCTTCAAATTCATCTTCATCCCATATTCATGACAGTATTCGTTAAGTAAGTAAGAACAGAACATTATGTTCTGTAAGTCATTGTTGAGATCCGTTATAATGCTTGTATTAAGTATTGTCTACAAAATGTAAGTTACTTAAAACTTCTGCATTGATAGATATACCTTCTATTGAATCTAAAAGCTCGTCTTTAAATATCGGTTTACTGTAGACATAGACTGGGAAGTACAAGAGTAATGGAGAGAACACGTAACCTTGGCAGGCTTCCTCCGGGTGTTCTGCTTCCGATATAAACACATCTAAAATGTCTAAGGAACACAAATGTCTTTTTCTCAAATATACATAAATATTGATTCGATTTTAAAAAGTAACATACCGTTAGAATGTCATAAGTAAGCAATAAATTTAGCTTAATTTTGGAGACTATGATTTATTTATTCAGAGATCAAAAGCCGCAGTTAGAGTAAATGGCGAACTATCTCCCCTGTTTGACATCAACATAAGGGTAAAACAGGGAGACGCACTTTCAACCATGCTGTTTAACCTAGTTCTTGAAGCAGTCATGAGAAAACCAATGTAACCGGCCATATAAATACCAAAATAGTACAAATTACTGCATATGCAGACGATGTCGCCATTATTGGTAGAAGCAAGAAGGGCTTAAAATAAACGAAACAAAAACTAAGTACATGACCATCAAAAGAACACCTGAGAATAAAAATATTATAGCGATAGACAACTATACTATTGAACGTGTGGATGCCTTCACATATCTGCGCACAGAAATCAATCAGAAGAATTCCGTAAGTAGTGAAATTTCAGTGGAAATCGTACATTTTAAGCTAATAAAAGGTTAATGACATCGAAATTATTAGACAAAAGAACCAAAATGACTATCTACAGAACTTTGATTAGACCCGTAGTAACCTATAGTTGTGAAACCTGAGCAATGACTAAAAAAGAGAAAATACTTTCTCTTGTACCGGACCATATACTAAGAAAAGTATATGGTCCGGTACAAGAGAAAGACGGCATATGGAGAATCAGGAAAAACGACTAGGTTAATGAACTGAATGAAGGGTATGATATTGTAAAATTTGTGAAAAGTCAAAAACTGTCATGGCTGGGGTATGTTCAGCGACAAGAAGACATGAAAACGACAAAGAAGATGTTACGGTGGAAGCAAGGCTGAAAAAAGGCCCAGGACGAGATAGTTGGATGACGTGGAAAACGACATGAAAACCATAAACATAAGCAATGGAGGAGAAGGGCCCGAGAGAGATCTGAATAAAAGGAAGGAATGTAAGGACAAAAGAAAATTATTTATTTATGATAAAAAGTTGAGAAGTGCGCTAATTTAATGTAAATTTTTAATATAAATGTCAATATAAAACACAGAAATCTAATAAAAATGTGTTTATTAATCTGTTTTTCCTCCAACAGCAATAATTACAGTTTAAGAGTTTCTTGCCGTGCTTACAATTAAATTATTAAATTCGTTTTGAGGTAATAGGATCCATTCCTCATTAAGATCATAAAGAAATTCTCTAATATAAACATTGTGCAGATGATTAGCAATCAGTCTTTGAAGCATATCCCATTTATGCTCGATGGAATTAAGATCTGGCGATTGTCCTGGCCACGGTGAAAGTGCAATATTCTGATTATGAAACCAATCTCTTACTGTCGCTGTAGTATGTGTCCTTACAAAATCCTATATGTAACGCAAATTAGGACACTAAGATACGATCACGATCAACATATTGAGATTTATGCAAAGTGCCTTTTACAAAAACAGAAACAGTTCGATGATGAAAAATTATTCCAGTCCAGATCCTAACTTGTAGACCACTATATGGACGAACACTACCGTACATGCTGTAGTCTCAGTTTTCGACTAGGTCTTCTCTCACTTTTCTTTAATTAGAGTAGATTTCTCCATTTCCATTCTTGTATGCCCCACTGCACATGTCCTTGTGCTCACCTTAATGTAAGACCACGATTTCCATGACGTAACATGGTAATCCTTAAAGGACGTCTGGCGGCAGGTCAGTTTCACGTAATATATTCCTTAAAGTTTGGTCGTATAACATAATTTTGGGGGTAATTTCTAAGGCCGCATAGAGTTCAGGTGCAGTTTTATGTACATTTCGACGAGCTAATCCTACCGCATACCGATCCTGTCGAGAAGTAGTTTCAAGTTGACACCTTATGTCTTTCAGCAATATTACGAAATTGTTGATATCGACGCCATAATAGCTAAATCACGCTCCGGTACATGTCAAAATGACGTACATCAGCTTGTGAAAAAATCTAAATCATATTCACAGCACTTACCATTTAAACATGTGTTAAATGCTCACACTACATGACTATCTCTGCGTTTATATTTTAGTAAAATTTTATATCTTTATAATTTGAAGCAATTCTTCGTACAAATTTGGGGAGCTGTCACTTTTGCGTTAATAAAACAGTGCAATTCACAGGTTAATTTACATGATATATCTTGTTTGTAGTAGAGAAGTATAATAATAATGGTGTTCCTTAGACATTTTTGATGTGTGTAGATTAGATATAATTTTCATATCACGACTCTCAATTTTTTGCTTTTTATTATATTTAACTCTCCAACCCTTTTTTGAGTTTTAAATAAAAAGATATATTTTTCATTTCTAATATTTATTTCAATAGTTACAACTAATTGTTGTAATCGTTATAATTCGGCAGGTGTCTATTTTAAGTTGCTAGAGGTCCTTCCTGTGTTTTGTTTGCCCATTTGTTCCAAGAAACTTATGTAAGTAACCCCTTTGTTTCATTTTTTTTGTAGTTGTCCCAATCCAACCCCTTGCTTATCCACGACCCAGCTACTCCAAATAAACCCTGAGTGCTGTTCGCATAAGTTTCGTTTTTGCATGCCCTATCTTTACCCCCAATAACTTCTTTTACCCAATTTTTAACCCCCATAGTAATACCCTATGGGATAATATATTCGTTACAATATTATCTATCTATACTATTATATATGTTTCTTACTTCTCCACCTTCATTTGTCCTATTAACATCATAATTAACAATAAACTGTCCAGCAAATCCATTATACTCTGTATTTCCAAGTCCGCTGCATGCAAATTCCATTTGTCTTTCAACATTAGGTTCAAATATTATCACAGCTGAACTATTGTCTACACTGACACGTGCATTAGGATCTATTGTCGTTTGTCCCAGGTCCATCGATCCACTACCTGCCTGAAGGTAAGGTGTTTTCAAGTTTACCAAAGGTTGATTTTCTTTTATGGTTATCTGAAAGATAAAATAATTGAATTAAATTTAAAAAAAAAACAAACCTGACAACGGTCACTGAATGTTTGTAAGAAATTTTTGTTGCACCACTGATGTGTCTTAAATCAATAAAAAATCATTGCACCAGTGATTACTTTAGATACTTTAGGAATTATTGTTTTTATGGAATAAGTATTTAGAATTTAATCGTTAAGGCGTCCCATGTTCGTCACCCACGTCCTTAAAATAAAGGAAGTAATAACCAGGACCCACCTAGGGAAAACCAAAACTAAAACTTAAAATGAAAGAGTGATTATTAAAAAAATCGGCAGAGCGCGGGATGGATAAATCCTACTGTTCTGTCCCTCAAAATATTTTAAACTAACGTGTGTATATGTCTTTACTTTAAGTAACTGATACGGTCATGTAGACACCACCCGAATTTTTTAAAAGATCCATATAAGAAATACATACGGCTTCTGCACAGCCTTAGCCAATATTTGTTTAATAACCATGAGAGTGACAGTTCTATATAACCATTCAGCCCAGTATAGTTCGGCTGGTTCGAACTCGAGATTGTACAGTCCAGCGCACTGGATAGAGAAAATCAATGTGGTCTATTACAATATATTAAAGAATATATTGAATACTGCTCATTTTAAGACGTATTGCAGACTGCTGCCATTGATTATATTTTAGGGATTTAACAACAGTAATGATAATTATCACAGAGGAAGAGGGTACCTATAAGGGAGATAATCTTCGAATTAGCATACCTTCCATTATGATGATCACGAGTAATCTCCACCAAGGGAGACGTAACAGCTAGAGAGCAACTGCAGAATAAATGGATTGCAATTGATCAGTATAAACACCAATGAAAGAGGTGAGTCACTACAGCTTGTTATTACACATAAGATACTAAATATAAAACATAAATCAACTTTTGTAACTATACAACGCAAGGAGATATTTAATATACTAGTAGCCACGACTTACGTGGCTAGGACTAATAAATATGGTATGTATCAAATAATATGTGTTTTGTGCAGACTACTGACACTTCTGTTTTGAAATAACAAGCAGTAAGACTAGTAAAAAACTTACCGTATTCCTTGTAAAATTGACTGGGAAACATGTCAAGCCGATCTGAATTATTATTTAGGCAGCACTAAATGGAGGCGTACAATGAATATAGACTAGACTACCGAACAGTTTTATGTCAGTTTTCGACGACTCTATTCGAAAACAATGAAAAATTTCAACAAGAAAGTACCCTAGAGGAATAACAACATTGCAGATCCAAAAATAAAAGTCAGAAGAAAATTTAATTTTGCCAAAAACTCAGGTAAGTGGAATTATTCAAAGTTCTTACTGAATACAATACAGATCTGATAAAGACAAAAATAATCTTAAAGAAGGCATTGCGAGAAGACAAAATAACTGCAGAAATGTTAAAGTTTCATAAAGTTTTCTCTAAAGAACTTTAGATAAGTATACCCTCACTCCAAAAGGTACCAGGTGAAGATAACCTGAAAAAAGTTTTCAGGGCGCACTTTTATGAGTCCGAAACAAAACTTACACCATTAGATACAATACGGTATACCGCACTAGAGACCGTAACTAATGTTTCTAGTGAAAATCACAGAGTTTAAAGTGAAATTCATGCTGAGAGTTCAGTACGGCTAAGTTTTTTTTTATGAGGTGAGAATCTTCAAAAGACCGTCAGGGAAGGTGTCCCTGGTGTGTCGGATTCAGTCCGATACGCTGCACCCCGTGCCGAGACCGCCTACCGACTAAACTCACCCCCTCTTCCTCCAGCCGACGGATCTGGAACCGCCCTTAGCGAGCATGTCTGACCCGTCGGTCTTACCCTTACCCCCTAACATCCCCAGCGTGAACTCCATGGATTAGTCGGCACCGCACAGCAAAGCGACCGAAGACGGAAAAGAGAGCAAGATGGAACCAACCATAAGATCTCAGTCGGCAGTTACGAATAACTCCAGTCCTTCATACCTTCATCTATTCACTCTTTCTCATCCACCCATTCATCCATACTTAGTGTCATTCAACTCTAGTCATTCCTTATTTTCATCTAGACACACCTACTCATCCACCCATTCATTCTAACATTTAGATGGGGCAGTCTGTGTAGGTCGGATGTAAGGTCCTTCCCCGCTGACTGTCCCCAGACGAAACATGACATATAAGAAAGAAATAGACTGACAAAAAGGAGATGATAAGGAATACCAAAGATATGATTAGAGAAGAGAGAAAGAAGAGGAAGGATGAAATGAAAGATATTAAAGAAGCCAAAGAAAAAAGAAAGAAAAGATAGAGAACATTAGCAGGAAAATGAAATTAAAAATTAAATTGTTTAACAAACAATAACGTATAAATAAAATAAACTTAAGAATAAAACAACGATAAAGTAAATAAAAATATAAAACTATGATAAAATAAATAAATAAGTAAAACCTTGTAAAAATAAAAAAGGATAAATTAAATTAGACAGTCAGTGTGGTTTGGGTGTATAGGGTGCTTTTTACGACACTCCCCCCCCTACTGGTTGCTTTTTACGAAACAAGACAGGTTAAAAAATAAATATACGGTTATCCTGTCTGTCTCTCTTTATTTTCTGTATGCTTTATTGTCTCTGTGACAAACGCAATGATCAGGTCGAAGTGATGCTTGCTGTCGATAGCTTTATCAATTAGCTCGCGAGGCTCGCCTAGGAGGGATCCCTGTATTTCCTGAATGATCCATGCACTGTCAAGAACTGTGTGAAGTAATAGTTGACGCGCCTATGATCAGGGATCTCGTCCAGTTAGCTTTTCCTACTTCGGCTGCCCATTCCCTCTCCCACGTCTCTAGATTTGTAGGGGCTTCGTCTGAGCCCTAATAATCATGTCTTTATACTTTTTCATCCGAAGGACCTCGTGCCACAATAGGGGCCCCGTATAGTATTATGAACAGTATTGATTGAAGCATAATTGTCCTCTTTTGGGATCCGGGTCCCCCGATGTTATGAGGTCCTTTCATATGTTTTTTCATATGATGTTGGAACAAGTCCCCAACTTGTTCAGTGTCGAGGTCCTTTCTTCCGCCTTTCGACAGGCTTCTTGCACATGCTTTCTGAAAGAGAGTATGACATCGAAAGTTATTCCTAAGTACCTGACTGTCCTTTGGGGTCTTATTTCGGAGTCTTGATATGCAAAGGTTATATCGTTTCTTTTTCGTGGTCCCCTCAAGATTATTGCTTTTGTCTGTTCTACTGTTAGTTTTAGGTCGTTCTTCTCTATCCACGCCGCGGTCGTTCTTATCGCATTATTTACCTTTTCTGTTATTTCCCAATTCGTATTGTCTTCGACCAGTAGGGCTAGATCGTCCGCTTATGCTATTGCTCTCACTCCTGTCTTCTTGTATATTTCTAGTACCCCGTTATACATGTTTTAAGAGTAGATTTGGTATTTGATCTTCTCCCTTTCTTTTTTTAATTTATTTATTCCTTCTTTCACATCGTTTTGGGAGATTTCGGTCTTTTCCTCAGTTATTATATTTGACGTTTCTGGTCAAGGTTCTTCGTTTTGTTTTTAAAGATTTCTGTCAGGAAGGCCACCCATGTATCCTCTTGTATGTGTTCTATTTCAACTAGTTCTTTCATTTCGCTTCTTTGTTGTCCTTTGAAGCGCCATACTTGTTTCTGTTGTCCATAGAAATCCATCTCTCGCCTTTTTGTGAATCTTTCCCAGTAATCAATTTTTGTTTTTCTTGCTAATTGATGAGTTTCAGTTCCTATTCTTTATATTCTTCATATGATTCATTTGTTTTGTCTGACTTATATTTTAGAAAAGCTTTCTTTTTTTGGTAATATTTTTGTTTAACCTCTAGTGTAAACCATGGTGTTTTCGTTGACCACTTTTTGTTTATTATTTTCGTTCCAGTGGCTTCTCGGGCAGCATCCAGAATATTTTTCTTAAGTTTTCTCCAGCTAGTTTCTACATTGCTTTCATTATTTGTAAATATATAATTACATATTTGTAAATATGTATATACTAATTGTCAAAAAAATGGAACACCTGGAAGGACAATTATTTATTTAAATATTCAGTTATGCAAGTATACATTACAATATTCTTATTATTTGATAACATTATAACCAAATTTGCAACGTCGTTTTCGTCAAAAAATTAATAATAAGTGGTTCCTCCTTAATTTTCTATACACGTAATTCCACTATGGGACATTGATCAAATTAGTTAGTCTATATATATCATATTGGGGAATATTCATTCAGACTATTTTTATGGCGTACCTCAAGTCTTTTAAGTTTGCTGGAAGACATGGCAAGGTTTTAGGTTTCTATCTACCGTATCCCTCACTTATTAGATGAGCGATGAATCAGTTGATATTGATGGCCACTCCAACGTTTATCTACCAGATTTTCATGGGTAACATGAGGTCTTACGTTATCCTGTTGAAAGATAGCATGTGTAATTGTTTGTACGTAGGGATGAAAAACTTGGTTACAGTACTTCACCAATATATCGTCGATCTGCCAACATATAGCAAACATATAGTAACAACATAATGCGTGGTTGTCTTGCTGTGTGACGATCAACCTATATTTCTTCGCTCACCTCGAAAACGTCTTACCTTTATGCTCTTAAAAGGTGGAGACCAAATTCCATTGGTCATTCCAGTTTTACTGAGGTCTGCACCATTCTAAGTATCGAGTTTTATGCCGTTGAAGGTAACACCAAAAGGGGACTGTAAGCTCTTAGTCCCATTCTAAATAATCTTTGAATAACTGTTCTTCTTGAGACTACTCTTCTTTTAGCTATAACTTAATCATCTCTTACTTGATGTATACTGAGAAAGAGTATCCCATTTATTTCTGAGAGCAAGTCTAAGATGGCGCTAATCACGGCTTTGCCTTGCAATATTCTAGCACCTCCAGACCCTCCATGACGCCGATTAGTCACAATATTGGACCACCTCTTTCAAACTCAACACCGTTAATGGATTAGGTTCAACCCCTCGTAAAATTTCCCGTAAACCAAAACTGGAGTCTCTTATGCCATTTTTGAAGTCGCTTAAATGACGAAATTGCCGACTACCGCAAATTCTTGGCATTTAATTTTTTTTGGGTAAATCAAAAATAATCTAAAATTACTAAAAATTACAAATAAACTGAAATTAAATACGCAGAAACAAACTTTCTTATATTTTGTGTTTTTGCGCATTTATTACATATATATATTTTTATGCACACAAAAGAAATACTTTTGGGTGCAAATAAATAACCGTACAAAGGATCTCATTTTTTTTTTGGCCACCAGTATACGTATTTTATAATAAATATCTAATGTCTCTTTGTTTTATTCTAATTTGCACTAAAAATTACATACAAAAAAGGTAGTTTTACTCGTAATAGACACGAATACAGATCTTTGTACGGTTCTATACGTGACTACTACTTAAACAGACCCTTAAGCTTGCCAGGATAAATGAGCGGAATCCCATTTACCTACGTAATATTTTTTCATCCATTGTTTACTAATTTATTACCGCCCTAATAATGTTTCACCACCAAACCTACCTTAAGGGGAGCAATTCTGCTGGCTTAAGGTTCAAGCTAGCAGAATTCGGAAAAGAACTTTTTTTCTATGGAATATTGTTTCACCCATTTTTCACTAATTTATTACCACTTTAATATTTTCTCACCACCAAACCGCCCTTAATGGGAGCGATTCTGCTGGCTTCAGGTTCAAGCTAGCAGAATTCAGAAAAAAACTTTTTGTCGATGCATATTTTTTCAGACATTGTTTACTAATTTATTACCACCCTAATAATTTTTCACCACCAAACCACCCTTGCGGGGAGCGATTCTGCTGGCTTACGGTTAAAGCATACGAATTTTTTATCACACTAGTAATTATTAACCCCTTAACTAGTCCTTATGAAAAGTCAATAATTCTGTTAAGTTAATATTTATGATGATAAAAAATCTATTTTTACAATTTTACTGTACTCTACTTATAACTGAAATTATAAATTGCTTGCCAGGATTTTACTTAATTTTATCCACCCTCATAAGCCACAGTTAATGGGAAATATTCAGCGAGCTACGCATTGACGCTAGCTAAATACAAAATTCCTTTGGAAATACAAAAGTGCTCTGCTAGATTATTACAATATTTTTACCAACCTAGTCACTTTTTTCTCAAATAATTTCATTGAAAACATTCTGAAATGTTACTCTGTGCTAATATATATTTTTCAAACGTTTAAATATTGAAAATATGAAAACACTGTATTTCAAAAATTATAAATTTTAACTTTATTAAAAAATTGACCCTTGATTCGAGTCGTGATTACATGGCTAAGGAAAATTGAATCGTAAGTCCTTTTCATGAATATAAAATAACTGAAATCAAGTTGAGATTTAGTAAATACAATGAAATTGTTATATTTCACTGAACAAGCTAAGAAATATTTAAATTGAAATAATTTTATATCTATTACATTAATTATCTAATTGTATAGGAGGGTCGGAACACCTTGCGCACCTATTGTTAACATATTAAAAGATTTGTGTTCATTAGGTACATCCATAGACCTGAGCGAAGTGTACTGCCAATCAAGGAGTGGGGATTGCAGTCTTAATCGGATATTAGATTAATACCGCCCTCTTCACTATTATTCAACTTTGGCAATAAATTGCAAATATTGTGCCTTTGTACTGTCCCTGAGTGAAGTGGCCTACTAAGGTGGTACTAAATTCAAAAAAACCTAGTAGAATACTGTGGTATATCATTAATATTTTTGTTTAATTTTGCTAGTTTTAAACGTAAGTTAGCAGAATCGCTCCCCTTAAGGTTGGTTTGGTGGTGAAAAATTATATATATATATATATATATATATATTATATATATATATATATATATATATATATATATATATATATATATATATATATATATATATATATATATATATATATCCGGTTTTTTAGGCGTTACGCCCGTCCGGTAGGGATCTATGGAGGAGTATCATCGAGCCGCAAGCCCTTATCTCTTACCGTACTGCTCCACCATAGGCCGATCAGATCCCAGCATATTCTAGTCTAAGCCGCAAATGAAAAAATAAAAAATTTTTATGGTTGTAATAAATTAGTGAAAATAGGTGAAAACATATACCACCGGCAAAAAAATGTTTTTTGAATTCTGCTAGCTTGAACATTAAGCCAGCAGAATCGCTCCCATTAAGGGTGGTTTGGTGGTGAAAAATTATTAGGGTGGTAATAAAGTGAAAAATAGGTAAAAAAATATTACGTAGGTTAGATTGGATTCCGCTCATTTGTCCCCGTTAGCCTAAGGGTCCTTACTTAAACCAGCAAATGCGCATTCCTTTTTCCAAACGTACTACACTCTCAGTATAAATTTTACTGTAGACAGGATTTATACAATGCTTTTACTAAAGCTACTAAAGGCAAACTTAGGACTGGTGTATATACCAAAAACATAAGGGTACATTTTATAGCTAACCCTAGTGATGAGAAAAACTGCTAAATAAGCACAATGGGGATAATATATTGCTTGAAGGTCCGATAAATTGGGGACAATAAGCGCATAGAGCAAGATTATCTATGCAAACATCACTACATCTTATTGTACAGAGAGTGGAGTACGTTCGGAAAAACCAAGATACTATTGATATTAGGGGTATCTCATACGAAGTAATCACAAAGCTGATTTTGCTAAAAGAATCAGACAAAAGAAACTGAAGGTACATAGACCTGTATGCTGAGGAGCCGTGTGATGTACAACGTTACAGAAAGATACAGTATTAACAGCATTATAAGAGAGTTGAATCAAACATATACAAATAAATTAGTCAAAACTACAGAAATGCGTATCTGCTTAATATAGCATATCAAATACTTATAAGAAAGATAAGAAACTAAGTCACAAAGAAACTACAAAATAAAATCGGTAATTACGACTTAGAAAAGCATGTAGCAGAATGGGCAGCATGTATTTCTATTTTTATCAAGAAAGAAGATACCGAAAACTAAATGGAAAAAGGATTTGTATATAAACTGATAATATTTAAAAACGGAAGGAATAGTATGACGTAGAAAAAGAAGAAAAGAAAAATAGCTATCAGCTTGTTAGTCTTACAGATTTGAGCTATTATTATTGTACTGGAAAAGAAAATGTGAATATGCCGGATGTTTTTACCAAGTTGGGGATAAACATAAGTATATGGATTCTACGAGGTTGAAAAACTTTGAGTCAGTTTTTTCCCGTTTCTTTCTTAATGTTTTCTGCAATCTTAAAATGTAATCACTGGAGATATTAATTTTTCTCTTTGATTTAAAACTACCGAATTTTCTGCCACGCTATTTACTAACTCATTATCTTTGAGCAAACCTTAGTTAGGGAGTGCGTCTGTATGTGAAAATTTAAAATAATTTTTTTAATATTCTCTTGCATGACATCAATAAATAATTGTCTTATTAATCCATAAGTTTTTAAAATGTAAACACTTACCGTGACCTTCAATTTTTTAACAATTTGACCAGGTTGAATGTTGGTGATAATTTCGTACTGTCCATTCTCTCTTTGTAATAGTTCTTCATATTCTAATTTAAAGAGTACCTTGCTTCGTGGTTCTATGTTGACCGTTACAGTGAATCTGTTAGAATTTTTCGTGCTCACAGCAACATGTCCAGCAGTTTGTCCTTTTTTCTGCAGACTAAAAACAAATAAGTAGAAATTTTTTTGTAAATTATTAAAGATAATAAAATAATTAAGAAATCCTACGTTATTGGTCACCATCACATATACTCATGGTGGTGATAGTGGTGTGTGAGTGTGGAAGAAGATGACTAGAAGTACACCCAGAGTAGGGGTACAAAGGAACAACCAAGAGGCAAAAAACTCTAATATTGAACTTGGATTTCAAAAGCGTTTTGGATTATTAAAAAAAATTACAATATTTGATTAAACGAAGTACAAAAAGTTTATTTTATTTCAAAAACAAAAGGTCCAAACTACTGAAATTATTATCAAAGTATCATTAAATATATCCATCCTTTATTTCATTCTAAGCATGGTCACCATTATTCCAGCGTTATACTGCGTCCATGCATCTTGGGCCAAGAGCTCTCTCTCTCTTCAATCCTGACCCCCCAGGGGGAGTGTAGTGGTCGACGTGATGTCGTGTATTGTCCGTCTCCAGAGATCTCTGTCTCTGGCCATTTCTTTTAATTCATGCATAGGACTTTGTCATATTCCTGTAATTTGATCTATCCATCTTGTTGGGGATCTTCCTCGTGATCTTCGGCCTTCTACCTTTCCTTGTATTATGAGCCTTTCCATGTTTTCTGTGTTTGCTCTCATAACATGCCCAAAATATTTTAATTGTTGGAGATGGACTTTACTAGAGAGTCGTTGGCTAAATTTTAGCTCTCTTAAAATTGAATTATTTGTTCTACGGTCGGTCCAAGGAATTCGTAACATTCGTCTATAACATAACATTTCAGTGGCGTCTATCTTTCTTCTCTCCGATCGTCTCAGAGTCCAAGATTCACATCCGTAGGTCAGTATTGGGAATATTAAGCAGTTGATCAACCTCATCTAGGGCCAAGAGCTAATAGATATCTTTTAAAAAGTCTAAATACCGACATGTCAAGTGATTGTTTGTGAAAATAATATAGAGAAAAAGAAAGCATTAGCATTATATTTTATTTATAGTATTTATAAGTGCGAGGAATGGTTGTCTAAAATCTACAGAACAGATGATTCTTTGTTGGGCCTAACATGCTTAATAAAATCCTGCATAAATATAAAAACTTGTTATAAGTAATTCAACCACAAGAATATCTATTTCTAGAACTAATGCAATCAATAGGAGCATCTCTTACGACGGAAGCTGAAAATAGATGAAATCGTAAAACGTAGCTAAAAGTGATAATAATAGGATTATATTTGTTTCACTTTTATCTGATATTATTAAACCAACATTTCTATTTGCTCTAGCAGCAACTATTGTTGATGATCTGGTGACAATTGATACGCAAGTCTTATCTGCATTCCACATGGTAAAAGCTGTAAATCTAAATCAGTATACAGTAAAAACACAAAATATAGTGTTTGTGATTAAATGGTTTCATTTGTAAGTAAAATAGTAAATAGACAGAACCGATAACTAAATACTAAACAGGAAACTGATATTGTCCAGCATATCTTACCTTTTTAAAGATAGTTCTAGCTAAATCCTTTTTTTTTCCACGAAGGCCTTATATTGTTTTCCATCGATTTCCATGTAAAAACCTGAAATAAAAGCTCTCTCTGGCAGAACTACGGAAAAGGTCGTTTGCTTGGCAAAATGATCTGGGTTTTCTACTACATTAGTAACACTAGTTTCTGCAAAATGGTTAGATACATGTGTGTTTACAAGAAATTCTTTAATTTCCGGAAGATCCGATTTGGTGTCCTACAAGTAAAATTATTAACACTGTAAAGAAAAGTTAAAATAAAATATTTAAAGTATGTTTTAATGGTAATTAAATAAGAAAAAAAATATTTTAATTTAATGTCTCTGTCCCACCTCATGAACTCACTGACTCAGATTTTAGCATAAGAAATATGAATACTGTGATGGGAAGAATAATCATCTGTAGGGGGGTGTAGAATCAATACTAGCTTTCTCCAAAATTTTCGCTGGTCATAAAAAGCTAAAGACTTGTTAAAAACAAAAAATTATCACACGGATTTAAGTTTCATATAATAAAATTTGACTATAGAAATTAACATTTCACAAAATGAGTAAAATCTAACTTTCGTCAATAATTAAATAATTGGCTTATTTGTTTGGAGAAAGGAAGTTTTGAAGTAATTTTTTTGAGAAAGCAAGTTTTGAAACAATTCCATTTTTTTTTAAATAAAATATTACAACTTTTGGTAGTGGTACAACAGATCTTATAGGTTGCAATGCCAGTATAGTTATTTAAAGATCAAACGTATAATCCTAAATTAGAAATAGCTTGATACAAAAATTGTATAGAATATTTTTTTAATATTTCTTTATTTCATTCAAATAATGAGACATATTGGTTTAAAAAATATTGGTAAAAAAGTACAATAACCTAATTTTTTTGTACAGGTATATGTATATAATATGTAATTAAACTGTAAATGAGATAACTTCTTTCGGGCGTACACAGACTTCGTTATCCTGCCCATTATCATATTTTTTATTTCCAATGTCAATAACATGAAGGTAAAACAGCAGTACTTCAATACTTGTCCATAATTTTTTTTTGTCTGTCCACATTGTCTCTTTTTTTCGTATTTTACTGAGTTTGTATTAGGAATAATCATAATCATAGAAGAGGGTTTTTATTTAATTTCTTTTGATGATTCCAATTTGTTTACTTCTGTACCAAGAGATAAAACTTTACCTTTAGTACACAACCTTCTAGACAATTGCAACATATCTGCAAAAGACAAGAATGCTATCTTAACTATGCTTAAATTCTGTCTGGATCAGGACTTCTTCCAATTTAATCAAAAGATATATAAATACAAAAGATATATATTTTGCTTTCAATTTTGATTTTTAACATTTCAATTGCATAGTCAGATTTCTTCTTTTCTACAGTACTGATAGTGCTTGGTAGACCATTTTATTGTAGTCAACTACCCACCGTCTAATATATTGTTTAGTCTATTTCTTGCATTCATACTTTGTGTCGACTTCAGTTACTCTCAAACTAGCACCCTAATTATTATAGACAGGTTTGACTGTGAGATCTGGATTATTCAATCTACTTAAAAAATCTTCTATATAATTTTATGGGGTTCAAATAGGGTACTCTCCTACTCAATTCCAACTCTCACCTCCACGCGGTGAACCCTGGTAACCTGAGCAACTCTGTGGAAGATTGTGGTAACCAACCCTAGTGGGAAGCAGAGTCAGGGCAAACGAGGAGAGTGGGAGTAATGGTCTTTCGAAGATTAGGGGGTTGGGCAAAAGGTTAACGACCTCTTACCTTAAAAAAACTCATTGTTATGAAAGTACAAAGTGGAAAAGCCGGACTGTTTAATTCACGACGACCTAGCAAACGACAATGGAATAACAATTTACGGATATGCACATGAAATGTACGAACCCTATATGCCTCAGGTGCTCTTAGACTGCTAACACAAGAACTTGATAAAATAAAAGCCGATGCAGTAGCGATTCAAGAGATGAAATGGACTGGTTCAGGAATTATCGAGAAAAGAGACTATATACTATAGCGGTCATTGCTAGGGACTTTAATGCAAAAATTGGCAAAGAGTAATTTTTCCAGCCAACTATAGGACGTGAGAGCTTACATGAAGAGTCAAATGATAACTGGTTAAGACTAATAACCTTTGCAAGTACTAAAAACATGATAGTAGGAGAAACAAGATTTCCCCATAAAATGATACACAAAGGAACATGGAAATCCCCTGATAACGAAACCATTAACCAGATAGATCACATCCTGATAGATGCAAGGCACTCTTCCGATCTTATAGACGTCAGAAGCTACCGAGGCCTAAACATTGACAGTGACCACTTTCTTGTAATGGCAAAAATCAGAGGAAGAATATCAAACCTAAAGAAAGATAAACACACGAAACAAGACAGAATTAATGTTGATAATCTGCGCATTGAAACCGTTGCGAGAGAGTATAGAAGACAAATGGATGAGGAAATAGAGAGCCTGGAGGTGGGGGAAAATGTAGAGAAACTGTGGACAAAATGTAAGAACATAATAACTGAGAAAGCAACACAAATATTGGGGAAAACCAAACCAGTTAAAGTAAACGAATGGTTTGACAAGGAGTGCCAAGAAGCAAAAGATAACAAAAACAGGGCATACCTAAATATAAATCAAGCTGGTTGCACAAGAAGAGCAAAGGAAAAATACTGGATGAAAGCAGTTGGAAAGCACAGAATGGCTAAGAAATCAAAATGAAATTCGAAAGTTCTACAGAAATCTAAACAAAATGCGCAAAGAGTTTAAGCCAAAAATAAGGAACTAAGGATGTAGAAGGAAACATCCTAAATGATAAGGCCTCAATCCTAAACAGATGGGTTGAATTTTTCGATGCAAAATTTATTGGTCATCATATCGAAGAAGCAGATAACACCCTAGCAAATCGAAATGATTGGAATCGTTTCAACCCAAACGAAAGACTACCTACCATCGAAAACGTTGTCCAAGCCATTAAAAAGCTTAAAAATAATAAGGTTTTGGAATTTGGAATTCAGGAATTTATCAAATTTGCAGTGAGCTCTACAAGAATGGTAGCGATACCCTACTACAGACACTGCATAAGCTTTTACTTCTTGTTTGGCATAATGAGACTATCACTTGTGAATGGTCTCAAGGCGTGATATGCCCGTTACATAAAAAAGGTGACCAGCTCCAGTGTGACAACTATAGAGGTATAACCCTGTTAACAACTGCTTACAAAATACTAGCAAATATTCTCTACGAAAGGCTGCAAGTTTACACAGTGGGCATAATTGTTAAATATCAAGCTGGATTTACTTCAGAAAAATCAACGATTGACCAGATTCATTCATTAAGACAGATTCTCGAGAAAACATTAGAATTCAATATTGGAACCCATCACCTATTCGTCGACTTCAAGGCCGCATACGACAGTGCCAAGAGAACAGTGCTATACCAATCAATGCATGAGTTTGGTATACCAGATAGACATCCGATTAACGAGAATGACAATGTCTAACTTAGAAGCAACTGTTAGAATGCAGGGAGAGAATTCAAGATCCTTTGAGATAAAGGATGGACTCAGACAAGGAAATGCTCTGGCTTGCCTCCTATTTAATATTGCCTTAGAAAAGGCAGTCCGAGATACACGAATTAGGGATGGTGGTACTATTTAAAATAGATCGATACAAGTCTTAGCATATGCTGATGACATTGACATAATAGGGCGTAGCAAGCGAGATGTTGAGCAATATCTCCTAGAATTGGAAACAGCGGCGAAACAGGTTGGTCTAGTCATCAATGAAGACAAAACCAAGTACATGTTGGTTACAAAGGATCCGATAGCAAATGAGGAACGAGAAACAGTCTTTGGAAGTCATACCTTTGGACGTATTGACAACTTTACATACCTTTGGTCGCTATTGACTGCTACCAATAAAACAAGCGAAGAAATCAAAAGACGAATAAATCTTACAAATAAGGCATACTATGGACTCCAAAAGCATTTCCACTCAAGAAACATTCAAAGAAGAACTAAAATTATTATATACAAAACATTGCTGAGGCCGGTCCTCACATAAGAAGCAGAAACATGGACTCTAACGCAGAAAGATGAAAGACTTTTGGGAATATTTGAGCGTAAAATACTCCGCAAAATGTTTGGAGCTATAAACGACCAAGGGCAGTGGCGCAGAAGATATAATTTTGAATTGTATCAGCTCTTTGATGAGCCAGATCTCATAAAGTTCATTAAAACACAGTGACTTAGATGGGCTGGATACATAATACGAATGCCAGAAAATACGATTGCTAAAAAGCTAACCACAGGAACACCTGTAGGAAGATGAAGCAAAGGCCGACCACGAATTAGGTGGTTAGCCGACCTACGGATAATAAAAATCAGAAGATGGCAATATGTTGCCAGAAACCGAACAGAACAGCGACGAATCTTAGAGCAGGCCAAGATCCACAGAGGATTGTCGAGCCAAAGATGATAATGATATTATTTTATATTTCATCAGTTGATTTCCTCTAGTAGTGTCAGTTGGACCTTTGGTCAATACTTAGTTTCATAGCATTTTGAAAGGTGCAGATCACATATGCATGATTGAACTGCCCATCCAAGCTGTCATCTGTCACATGTCACCTCAACATTTCCGTTAGACCGTGAGCCATTCTGTCTCCGGCTTCTAGACACAATGTAGCTTCGCCTATTTTCAAAAATTTTAAAGCGTTTGTTTGTCCTTGTGTAGTGTATTGTAATGTTCCATTTTATGTTTATGACATTTTACTCTTGTCGGATAAGCTGCAATCACCGAAGTAAGTCTATAAACGTTAATCATATAAAAACTTTTATCAACCATAAACTTCGAGTTTTTATCGAAGTTAATTAATTTCTTCAGTTAAAAAAACGTTTCTTGGCTTATTTCAGATTTCCCTGAAGATGATCTAGAGATCGAAAGTACATGGGCAAGATTAAATTAATACTGTGCTCGTTATTTGCCTTTTATGTTATGAAAGATAATCATAATAGTACAGTCGTCAGAAAAAATAAAAAGATAAAAATCATACGAACAAGCTGAATTTTACGTAGAATATTAATTTTTGGAACCCAAAAAGATACAACCCAAAAAACTCCCTTTTAGGGGGGTAAAAACGCAATAAAATCGATTTATCAAGAATCTGCACACCGTAGAAAAAAATACTTCAAATAAAAAATGTA